GTCCCCAGTTTCCCTCACGCCCTCTGTAACAGACACTTTCCTTCTCTGTCTCTGTCTCTCTGTCTGACTCTCTGTCTGTCTGTCCCTCTCCCTCCCCACATTTTCGCCTTTTAGATACAGTGGTTCGCAGCAGTCACTGAGAGGTTATCATGTATGTCCCTTTATCCTTTCAACACTCAGCTCGTGTCCAGAACCATCATTTCCAACTATCATTGTTGTGGCTGTCCTTTCTCTGTCCTAACTGCCCTCTGTGCCCCCCACCTTGTGGCTGGCTTCCCCCCCACCACCTGGGACCAGTCCCCCTGCCATGGTTCTGGTATCTGTGGGTCTCTGATCTGGATGCCAGCTGTGCCCTAGTTCCAGCCCCCAGCCCAGTCCTGCTGTTGATTCTGTGCAGTTCTGTCGTCTCAGACCCCCCCACACCTCCAGGAGGAGCTCACCGGGCATTTGCAGAAGCTGCCTTGGCCCTGGCCTATTTTCTTGAGCTTCACCTTTGGTGTGGTTGGGGATGGGGGTGGGTATTTGCAGATCAGCCTTCAGCCTTGGGGTGTCCCACCCTTGAGTATTCTGAGGCTGGAAGCATCTGGAAGGAGGCTGACAGCTCAGCAGGGGGCTGCGCACTGTGCTTTGGGGCCTGGAGTCCCCTCCAGCTTAGCCTCAGGGGTTCAGTGCTCAGACTGTGACATCCGGAGCAGTGGGGAGTGGGACTTGGGACCTGCCCCTGCAAAGCAACACTCCAGCTGTTTGAGCCCTCTCCTGGTCCAGCGCTGACCACCTGGGGGGGTCACTCTGCACACAGCGGGTGAACTGCAGCTTTGGCGGAGCAGCATGCTGTGCTCAGTGCTGAGTGTTCAGTGCTTGGTGATGAGCATCCTATGATCCGTGATCAGTGCTCGGTAATGAGTGCTCTGTGCAACGTACTTAGGGATCAGTGCTCAGTGCACTGTGTTTGGTGCTGTGCTTGCTGCTGTGTGCTCGGGGAGCTGTGCTGTGCTGAGTGATTTGTAAGGAGTGCACTGTGTGTGTGTGTTCGTGCTCCGTTCTGTGTTTTGTGGTTTTTGCTCTCTTATCTGAGCTCTGTGCTCTCCGGGCTCCAGGCTCTGTGCTCAATGTTCTCTGTTCTCGTCTCTCCTCTGGTTTCTCTGCTCCGGTCTCTGCTCTGGTCTCTGCTTTGGTTTCTCTGCTCTGGGCTCTGCTTTGGTTTCTCTGCTCTGGGCTCTGCTCTGGGCTCTGGGTGCTGGGCTCTGCTCTGGGCTCTGGGTGCTGGGCTCTGCTCTGGGCTCTGGGTGCTGGGCTCTGCTCTGGGCTCTGGGTGCTGGGCTCTGCTCTGGGCTCTGGGTGCTGGGCTCTGCTCTGAGCTCTGCTCTTGGCTTTGCTCTGCGCTCTGGGCTCTGGGCTCTGCTCTGAGAGCTTTCCACCTGCTTTGTGCAGGGTTGCTGCATTGTGAGAGCTGCCCCAGGGAGCACCATCAGTCCCTTTGCTCGATCCTTCCCCACAGCCATGTTTGGTAAAGACTTGGCTCCTGAGGGACCCAGAAGCCCAGATCTGCTTGACTCCAAGATATACACAGGCTCTCCCTGGCGGCTGGGATCTTTGTGTGCTCTGGAAGCTTTAGTCCTGGTGACCCTGCGCCCTCTGGGAGGCAGGAACCAGGCTGCGGGCTACCCCCACCCCAGGCCAGAGCTCTCCTGGACTGCCCCCTTCCACACCCCGCAGAGATGCCCTTGCAGGAGGCCCTGAGGTCTCTGTCCAGAAGCTGCCCTGACCAGCCATTTCCTTCCTCCCTGCAAAGGGCGGAGCTCGGGGCAGCTGGCAGAGCCTGTGGGACCTGGGGGTGGGGAGACTTTACAGAAGCCTCACAGTCTAGGGCCCGGAAGGCCAGAGTGGGTGGGGGGCCCCAGGGTGGGGCCAACCTGGCTCAGGGAGTAGAATGTGGGACCCGGGACCCGTGGCATGGGAGGAATGCCCCTTCACCCCTCCGTTCCCAGATTTCTCTGCAGCTCTTTCCTGAGACGTTTCTCTTCTTTTCTGTCTGTTAGTGTTGTCTAAGCAGGCCACCGGGTGCATTCTCAGGGTTATGCTTCATTTCTGTGTCTTCTTCCAGCCTGTGGCCCCAAAGCTCTTTTGGATCAGAAAGTTGTGGGGCGGGGCTGGAGTGATAGCACAGCGGGTACGTTGTTTGCCTTGCACGCGGCTGACCCGGGTTCGATTCCCAGCATCCCATATGGTCCCCTGAGCACTACCCGGGATAATTCCTGAGTGCAGAGCCAGGAGTGCAGAGCCAGTGACCGCTGTGCATTGCCGGGTGTGACAAAATAAATAAATAAATTTGAAAAAAAGAAAGTTGTGGGGCTTCCGAAGGCCTCCATCCCACTGGCTTCCCCCCTCAACTCCCACTTTGCCAAGCACTGCTTAGTCCCCACCCTGACTCAGCCAGACCCTCCATTAACCCCCTCAGCCCTGCCCGCTGCTCGTGTTGTGATGGGGGGGGTAAGGTACATGCAGTGCTGGGCCCCCCACATGGGGGTGCTGCAGGGCTCACAGGGGCTTACCCACTGGCTTACACACCTGACAGTGCTCGCGAGGTGTCTGGGAGAGCTCCCGGGGATTGGGGGTGGCATGTGAGGAGATGCAGGGATCAAACTCAGGACTCCCCATTTCAAGGCTGGTGCTCGAGTGTCTGAGCCTTCCCAGCTCCAGGGCCTTCGTTGTCCCATCCGGGACATTTGGTCGCCATCCCCACCCTTTCTCGGTGCCTTCCATCATCTTGTTCTCAGGTCCAGGACTGTCCCCCAGGTCCTGCCGGGCAGTGCGGGGAGGCAGACCCTCATGGTCCCTTCCCCGTCCTCACTGGCTGCCCCGTGCCCATCCCCAGCATATGCCCCCCATACCCGCTCCGACTCACCTTCTGCCACCCCCGGCTGCACCCTGACAGGGGTGACGGGGGCGTGTCCTCCCCACCCCAGCCCAGTCTGCTGCTGCATTTCTGGGAGTAGGGGACCCCTGCAGCGCGCTCCGCCCGGAGCAACAGCTCTGGCTGTGTTCGCTCTATTCTTCCTTGGAAGGCAGCCAGGAATGGGGAGGGGCGGGGCAAGCACCCGTGCAGCATGGGGGTACCGTTCAGAATCAGGGGTGGGAGGTTCTGACCAGCCCCAGGCCACCCCAGCCTCCCAGGGCACCTCCTCGCCTGTCCCTGCCCTTCCTGCAGCCCCCTCACTCTGCCTACAGGACCCAGTGCCCCCCTCAGCAGGCACAGGGTTCTGAGTGCCCGCCCTGGGGGTACCACCTCTCTTTCCTAAGGAATTTGCATGTTTTAATTAAAAGCTTATGCCAGGAGCGAATTCTGCGCATTTATTATGCAGATTTTCAAGAGTCTCATCTTGGGGTGCTAGTGGGGACAGCTTGGGGGGGGGGGAGTCTGAGGCATTGTGTGTGGGGGGGACAATCAGGCTGCAGCTAGATCTTTCCAATTTAGATGGGTGCTCAGAGGGTGGGCTGGAGCGATAGCACAGAGGGTAGGGCGTTTGCTTTAGCACGTGGCCGACCCGGGTTCGAGTCCCCCACCCCTCTCGGAGAACCTGGCAAGCTACCAAGAGTATCTTGCCTGCACGGCAGAGCCTGGCAAGCTCCCCGTGGCGTATTCGATGTGCCAAAAACCGTAACAACAAGTCTCACAATGGAGACGTTACTGGTGCCCGCTCAAGCAAATCGAGGAACAGTGGGAGGACAGTGCAATGACAGTGCTCAGAGGGTACCAGGGAGGAGACGCTGGCCTGTGGCACGAGTTGTCAGCCATGTCCATCCTACAGTGTGCAACTGTGTGGGAGTGTGGACAAAATTTGGTAGGGGCAGACAGCGTGCCGGGGCAGGGCGCAGGGCTCTGTGTGGGGCCATCCTGCAGGGTCACTGGAGTGCCCCGGCAGCAAGCACTCAGCCCAGCCCTTCCTCCAGTCATTGGAAGTTCAATTCAAAACTAGGGACACTTGGCCCAAGTTCTCCTCCAAATACCTCAGGACAAGGGACGTGGGGTTTCCAATGGAAACGGCCCCTGGGAAGGCCTAGGAGAGAGGGTGGAGCTGGGCTGTGAGCAGGCCTCGTCCTGGGGGCCTTCCCAGGCAGGCAGGAAGGACATGGCTGGTGGTAGAGGTGCTGAGTGGACAGGAGGGTCTGCTGCGGCCTGTGGTAGCCAATGATCCCAACACCATCTCCTGGACTTGCTGGTGGCCATGCCTGAGGACCCTGGGGTACGGGGCTGCGGCAGGGTCCAGGGTGGGGTGTGGCAGACCCTGTTCATGGAGCTGATCCAGGTGCCCGCCCCCCGCCAGGACCCTGAGCACTGCAGAGGTCTCCACGCCAGGGCATTGGTTCGGGGGCAGCTGTGTCACCCCTGCGGGGTTTGGGCGATTTGAGAAGGGTGAGTCTGCTCAGGCTCATTCTAGGGAGGTTGAGGCACATGGTAGCCCACTGCTGAGGGCCGCAGAACTTCCCTCCCCTGGCAGGCGGGAGGACAGATCCCGGGGTCCCCCACTGTGGACAGGGGCCCACGGGCCAAGTAAGGGTGTAAGAGTCCCAGGATGACTTCCAGAGGAAGAGGGGGCAGGCTGGGCTCCGACACCAGCACTGGATGCTGCCTGCCCCCTGCCTCTGGCCCGCCAGCGACCCCAGGCGGGAGAGGTGTGGGTGTGAGAGGCAGCCGGCACTGAGGCCAGGCCTGGGCTATTTGTGGGCCAGCGCTGCCCTCTAGTGGACAAAGAGCCACATCAGCCAGGAGGCCCCTCCGTGGTATATCCTGCCCTGTGCCCCCGTGAGCACTGCTTAGGAGTCCCACTCCCATAAACCGGGCAGTGGGGGGCCCAGATTTCTCAGCAGTCAGGAAGACACGAGGATCCCTGCCTAACATGTTCCCACAGAGCTTCCCGGTGGCTTCTCCCACCTGGAGCGGCCCTGTCCCTGGCCAGCCCATCTCCTAATCCCATCCTGGGTTTTTCGTCTTTTTGCAGGAATCCTGTTCACAATGTTGGTGTTCGGGCCAGCCTGCGGCTTCATCCTGGGCTCCTTCTGTACCAAGATCTATGTGGACGCCGTCTTCATCGACACAAGTAAGGATCGAGCCTTTCCTCCCTCAGACAGGGGCCCAATGCCCCCGAGCAGGCCTTGCCGTGACCCTCGGGGCCAGGAAGAAGCTGGGCTCTCTCCACGTGTTCAGACACGTCCATCGTGTCTACCCAAGGAAGGACTCCCACGGACACCAGTGGGCCAGAGTAGCACCACACATCTGTCTGAGCATGGGGCCCCCACCCTGCTCGGTTGGGAGTCCCCTGAGCTTGTGACCCCTCTCCCAGCAAGGAAGGACTGCAGTCATCTGGAGGGTACCAAGTTGGGGCCCAGTGGGCTCAGGAAGACCCACTTGGAATTGTTTGGTTTGGGTTTGGGGCCACACCCGGCAGTGCTCAGGGCTGACTCCTGGCTCTGCGCTCAGGGGTCACTCCTGACGGGGCTCGGCGGGGTGCAGGAGGTGCAAAGGGGATTGAGCCCCGGTCAGCTGCATGCAAGGCAAGAGCCCTGCCCATTGTACAATTTCTCTGGCCCTGACCTGAAATTCTTGCCATGGACCTTGTGGCAGGGCCACTGGAAATGCCACAGTCCTGTTCCAGCTCCTTCCGAGCACGGTGGAGGGGCAGGTGCTGTGACCGGGCTTGATGGGGCAGTGCTGATGCCCAAAGTCCTGTAGAAGGAGATATGAGGCGGCTGAGATGGGGTGTGGCTTGTTGGTGGGGGCGTGGCTTTGCTGGATGGGCGTGGTTTGGGCGTGGCCTTGTTGGTTGGGCGTGGCTTCTTGGGTTGGGCGGGCTTGAGGTGGGCGCGGCCTGACGGGATTGGGAGGAGTGGCTTGCCACCAGCTCCTGCCACTCAGGCTTCTGGGTACTGCCCATGCCCATGTGGGAATGTGACCCAGGCACTACTTGCTGGCTCTGGAAGCTTTTGCTCCAAAATGCTACCAGATGTTCTCATGGTTCACTGGCCACGGGCACTGCATGGCATGAGCAGATCCTGCAGACAGCTCACGTGCGTGGCCTTCTCCCCCCCGTCTGGAGCTGCTGTGCCCATGGGTCTTGGCCCCGGGGTGGGCAGCGGGAGAGACTGCAGACAAGATCGTACATGCTCTCGACCTGGTCACCCCCAACCCCCTCAGCAGGGTCTTTGCACAGGACTTCCTCCCCCGCCAGTGAATAATTCCTGAGTGAGGACGATGAGGGGTGCCTAGGGCCAGGTTCTGCCCCTCTGCATGGATGTGACTGGGGCAGGGGCCACTGAGGCCTCAGAAGTACCCCCACGAAATGGGCGCACCTCCAGCACCTGCCCAGCAGAGGCCGCTGTGACTTCACTTCCCCTCCCCCCACCCCCGCCCCACCAAACTGAGTTAGGGGTTAGCAGTGAGGTACCTGCCCGGTTCCTCCCATGAGGCCCATCTGCTCCAGAGGGTCAACAGGAAACACCATCCCCAGCCCTGGTTCTCAATCCGTCATCTCTCAACAGTGCTGAATGACTAATTCAGGCCCAGAGAAATACTCAGTTTTAAACCCAGCCAAGCCCTTGGTGCTTCTCCGCCTTGATCCCGCTGATACATTCACTCAGTGTCAGCCAGTGTCCAAATGGAGGGGACATGAGAATCCAATGGCACCTTTCTTCCTTCACAGTGCTGGGTCTGTTCATGGGGCAACTGGAAGGGGGGTGGGGGACACCGAGTCTGATGAGTTCATGGGGAGCACTGACCTTGGAGTCACGTGAGTAGGATGATGGCCCCATCAGATGGTGTCGGCCACCCATTCCCTGGACAGAGCCTGCTGTTTCTGCAGCTCCAGAAAGAGCAAAGGCAGGGACCCACCCACCCCCAGAGCAAGGGGGCTCCAGAAAGGGGCTGAGGGACTTTCAGCTGGTGGGTGGAGCCCGAAGGACACGCATGTTCTCAGAGCTGAGCTCCAGAGAGATGGAGGGTTGGGGGTGAGGGTCTCCTCGGGTCCTGGGCTCCTGAGCTTGTATTAGGGTGCGTGTGGGTTGTCCCATGTGAGCCCCTGAGTTCTGGTGCTGAAATCCTGCTCCCCAAACCGGGTGCTCTGGGTGGTGCCCCCGAGTGGCTGTGTAGACACTTCCTGCTTTCTCCCTCAAGTGTTTGGTGTTTGGGCCACACCAGGAGATGCTCATGGCTGACTCCTGGCTCTGCACTCAGGAATCACTCCTGGCAGGGCTCAGGGGACCCTGTGCGATGCCAGAGATCAAACCTAGGCTGGCCACGTGTAAGGCGAACGCCCTCCCCACTGTCCTTCCCCACCCCCGTTTTAGTTTAGCTCAGGGCAGACAGGCCTGCGTGTGGAGAGAGCCCTTCCCCTGCCCCACCCACTCACACCCCTCATCTACATCTCTCCTGGCAGGCAGCCTGGACATCACGCCAGACGACCCCCGCTGGATCGGAGCCTGGTGGGGCGGCTTTCTGCTCTGTGGGGCTCTGCTCTTCTTCTCGTCCCTCCTGATGTTCGGCTTCCCACAGTCCCTGCCCCTGCACCCTGACGCAGGCCTGGAGAGTGAGCAGGCCATGCTGCCCGAGAGGGACTACAAGCTCCCCAAGCCCAGCAACGGGGTCGTGAGGCACCCCCTGGAGCCCGACAGCACGGCCTCCTGCTTCCAGCAGCTGCGAGGTGAGGGCGCGTCCCACTGGGCAGGGCCTGGGAGTGGGAGTGAAGACCCCTGCTGGGAGGGGGGCCAATCGCATGCCCCAACCACCATGAGCTGCCTCATGGCCACAGCGGGGAGGTGGGGAGGTGTCCACAGGGGGAGCCAGAAGGTGATCCAGGATGCTTTGTCTCTTCACAAGATCAAAACAAAGACACACACAGACACATATAGATAGACAACACACACACACACACACAGATTCACAGACACAAATACAGATACAGATAGAAGACACATACAGATAGAAGTGACAGACTCAGTTACACAGATTCATACACAGATACATACAGATAAAGACAAGTACAGATACACACAGATACCCAGACACATAACAGATCCACAGATCCATACAGACCCAGATACATACAGATACACAGACATGCAGATAACACAAATTCATACACAGACACTCAGTGTCTACACAGATACAAAGACACACACAAAGACAGACTCAGGTATACAGACACACATAGATACATATGAGACACGCACACAGACACACACAGACACATCCAGATACACGCAGGGACACAGATGCATAGACACGCACACACACGCACAGATACACACAGAGTATGACACAGACAGACCCACAGACACACACACAGATAACGTTCCTGTGCTTGTGTGCATGGGCCCCCGCACACCCAGACAGCTCCCCTGCCGTCAGGTCAGGCTTCTTCAGGGCCCCAATGTCACATCCCGTCTGAGGTGCCTTTGGCCAGGGCAGCTCCTGTACCCCGGGATCTCCTTCCCGAGGACCGGAGTTGTCCACTGTGGCCCTCACCCGCCCTGTCCCCGAGTGATGGGGACGGCGGTCCTAGAGGGACGAGCAGAGGCTAAGACCCGAACTAGCCAGTGCTCTTTCCAAGGTGAGAACTTGGGGAGACTTGCTAGACTCCGGGGCCTCTTACCTGTCACGTTTGCTGCTTCTGCAGCTCCCAGCCCCTGAGTGCACCCCAACAGTTCAGCCTGGCCAGTTCAGGAGGGCAGAGGGTTCTGGTCAGTGGGGTTGGTGAGGAGGCAGTGTCCTGCAGGCAGCAGGACCATGCAGAAGCCCTTGGGGCCTGACCCCTGACCTGTGCCTACGAAGGCTGGCAGGGAGGAGGGATGGACGGTGGAGCAGGCCCTGCAGCCCAGGGGCTTCTGACCTCCAAGGGGATCCCGAGAGGGACCGTGATTAGATCTGGTCACCTCAGGGCCTCCTCGCCATTCCCCCAGCTGAGAACTTTCCAGAGGTCTTTGTTGCAAGGCTCCTCTGCCAGGGGGGTGCAGGGGTCAGGTGGGAATTGCTTTTTCTCCCCGGAGCGTGGGGAATATGAACCCCTTCTTACCTTTACCCTGGATTCAGTCCATTCCATTGCTGCTGGGTCAGTCCACATGCTGGGGTGGGGGAGGAGGGGGGATTGATCCAGCAAGACGCCGGTGTCCAGCTTCTTATTTTTTTTTTAATTTTTTGTTTTGCTTTTTGGGTCACACCCAGCGATGCACAGGGGTTACTCTTGGCTCTGCACTCAGGAATCACTCCTGGCGGTGCTCGGGGGACCATATGGGATGCTGGGAATTGAACCACTCCAGCCCCAGTGTCCAGCTTCTGGCAGACACTTATATCCCCTTCCCCTTGTCAGAAACAAGCCCCAACCCCCATTTTTTCAGTTTTTTTGGACAGGGGTGGTCACAGGCAGCCTCTTGCAGAACGCCTTAAGATAGGATGCAAGAGGGGCCGGAGCAATAGGACGGGGGGGAGGAGTTTGTCTTGCACGCGGCCGACCGGATTCATTCCCTGGCAGCTCATAAATTCCCCCAAGCACTGCCAAGAGTAATTCCTGAGCACAGAGCCGGGAGTCAGCCCTGAGCACTGCAGGGTGAGACCCCAAACAGAACCCCCAAGTCCCACTTCCGCTGCCATGGGTGGGAGCAGCGACACTCCCACGTGACTTGCGTCCTCAGGACTGGCACGTGCTGTCATCCCCACCCCCCAGACTTGGGGGTCGAGCTGGAGCATCACCAGACGTGCTCTCTGAGGAGGGAGACGCAGGCGTGGGGTGCCCCCCTGTCCCCACAGTGATCCCCAAGGTCACCAGCCACCTGCTGTCCAACCCGGTGTTCACGTGCATCGCGCTGGCCGCGTGCATGGAGATCGCGGTGGTGGCCGGCTTCGCCGCCTTCCTGGGCAAGTACCTGGAGCAGCAGTTTGACCTCACCACCTCGTCCGCCAACCAGCTGCTGGGTGAGCGGGACAGGGGCCTGGGGCGGGGGCGGGGGGACCCCGGGGAGCACTCCCAGGAGGCTCAGGAACACTCACGTGACACTTCCGCCCCTGCTTTGCCCGTAGGGATGACGGCCATCCCGTGCGCCTGCCTGGGCATCTTCCTGGGGGGCCTCCTGGTGAAGAAGTTCAGCCTGTCCGCCCTGGGCGCCATCCGCATGGCCATGCTGGTCAACCTGGTGTCCACAGCCTGTTACGTCTCCTTCCTCTTCCTGGGCTGTGACACGGGGCCTGTGGCCGGGGTGACCGTCCCCTATGGCAACGCGTGAGTGTAGGGTTGGGCCGTGGCGGGGGCAGGTGGTACCCTTGACCCTGGGAATGAGATGATTATGAAAGGGGGCTGGGGGGGTGGGGAGCAATAGCACAGAGGGGAGGGTGCTGGCCTGGCACACATCCAACTCAGGTTCCATCCCCAGCACCCCAGGAGTGATTCCTGAGCACAGAGCCATGAGTCAGCCCTGAGCACTACTGGGTGTGGCCCAAAAATCCAAGAGGAAAGGGAAAAAGAAAGAGAGAGAAGCACAAAATTTAGTCCACTGTCAAAGGCAGTGATTTTCAACTGCTCGGAACTCCTGTAGATCCCGATTCCCAGAATGTGGCCACCTCCCTGGAACCCCATGAGAGCAGAGAGGCCTGGGGTGTCCCAGGGGAGGGAGTCGGAGTGAGACGTGAAGGGCCAGAGGGGTCCATGGAGGGCCCGGAGCCCCTTCTCCATGCCTGACCCCATCCAGGTGCACAGGGCTGGTTAAACCAAGGGCATCAGGAGAAACTTGGGGTCTCTGGCACCCCTTATCCTGCCACACCCCTGCCCTGGGGCAGGAAGGGAGCCCCGGGACGCCCCAACCTGCGCTCACTCTCCTGCTCAGGGTCTGGGTGACCCGGTGGCCGGGCTGCTCCTTCCCTAGGGGGAGCTGAGCACTCACCAGCCCTGTGTCTCCTGTTCCAGCTCAGCGTCCAGCTCAGCCCTGGACCCCTACGCACCCTGCAACAAAAACTGTGAATGCCAGACAGACTCCTTCACCCCCGTGTGCGGCGCAGACGGCACCACCTACCTGTCCGCCTGCTTCGCCGGCTGCAACAGCACGGTACTGCGCCCCTCTCACCTCTCACTTCTGACCTCCCACCTCTCACCTGTGACCTCCAGCCGGGCTGCACTCCTCTGCACCTCCTCAGTGCTCTAGTCTCCAGCCTTTTCCACACCATCACACCCCTCCCCTTCGCAGCCCCTCTAATTGTCTCTTTCCCTGCATCAATGTACATTGCTGGGATTTCAGCTCTCTCCCCTCTCAGGTCGCTCTCGCAACAGACTTTGTGTGTGTGTGTGTGGGGGGGGGGGGGGCACCTGGGCCAGTCCGCCAGCTCCTACTCACCCGTCAAAACCCCTTGCAGATTGCCCTGCCCCTGAGAAATCCCTTTCCGCCTGTATCCCTGGGTCCTTGGCTCTGCCGTCTCAGTCCCACACAGGTCTCTCCTGGGGTGACTGTCTCAGGGTACTCGTGGAGATCTACTCATGGTGTCTGCCACCTGCACTGAGGAGCCTGCCTGCCGTCAGACATGATTCCCTAGAGTACAGGGGCAGGCAGGGGTAGGGCAGCTGCTGGCAAGTCTGCCTGGAGCTGAAACCGCGCCTTGTCCTGCCTCCTGCTTCCTCACAGTCAGTGTCTTTGGGGAGCAAAAGTGGCTTTGAAAAAAGAAAATCAATCATTTATTTTCATTTCTAAAGGCTCCATTTTTCTTGGCTTTTTTTTACATTGACATTCCTGGCTGGTTATTAACATTTTTTTATAGAGAGAAAATAAATCACCTTGGGGGTCGGGGGCAGGGAGTGCTTTGCGGAGGAACTGTTAATCCAAATGAGATGAAATAGCAATTTCTTTATGCGACCAGTAATGAATTTTTAAAAAGGACCATGAGAATGGTTCAAATAAAAACACCAGATATTGTTTTTCGTGACAATTTTCATTAATGTCTAAACCTCCCCCCATCAAAAAAAAAAAAGTCCTGTTATAAATCACTCTGGGCTGTTGTCCTATTACGGAATTAGACGGACTCAGGATCAGCATGAGCTTCCTGAGACCAAGCATGTTCCAGAACATTCTCTGACCAAAGCCTTTCTGTGAAGCTCGAGGTTCCTATTCCGACAAGGCTGAGGCTTACTTTGTCAGAGGCTCTGGGCTGACCAGGGACTAAATTATGGGTCACAGCTTCTCTCTTCGTGAGCCTTGGTTCCTTGCCCAGGGTCTAAGGAAGACACAAAGGCAATTTCTAGTTCCGAGCTCCTTGCTTTGAGGGGCTCCTGGTAACTCAGGGCTCTCCTGCTCTCTTCCTGACTCTGAGCATCCTGTGGGGCTCCACCTCGCCAATGCACTTCTGAGAACTTGGGGTCACCCCCCCTGCCTCTCTTGGGGCCCTAACACAGCCAGGAGTGAGCCCTGAGCACAGTCAGGAGTGAGCCCTGAGCACAGAGCCAGGAGTCAGCCCCGAGCATTGAGCCAGGAGTCAGCCCTGAGCACAGAGCCAGGAGTGAGCCCCGAGCATTGAGCCAGGAGTCAACCCTGAGCACAGAGCCAGGAGTGAGCCCCAAGCATTGAGCCAGGAGTCAGCCCTGAGCACAGAGCCAGGAGTGAGCCCTGAGCACACAGTCAGGAGTGAGCCCCGAGCACAGAGCCAGGAGTCAGCCCCGAGCACAGAGCCAGGAGTCATCCCTGAGCACAGAGCCAGGTATGGCCCCCGAACCCCCAAATATAAACCAAATATAAAAGAACCCCTAAAGCGCCCCCATTCACTGAGCCTGACTCCCGGGGCCCCACCGCGCCAATGGCTTCTGCTAACGTGGGGCTCAGGGTGTGCACCCAGGGGTTCCCTCTATTCACCCCCGCCCCTGACTTTCAGAACCTCACGGGCTGTGCGTGCCTCAGCGGCGTCCCACCAGAGAATGCCACCGTGGTGCCTGGGAAGTGCCCGAGCCCGGGGTGCCAGGAGGCATTCCTCATCTTCCTCTGCGTCATGTGTCTCTGTAGCATGATCGGGGCCATGGCCCAGACACCCTCCGTCATCATCCTCATCCGGTAAGCTGCGCCCTGCCTGCCCCTTGGTCCTGGCCACTTGCCTTCCCCTGGGACCAGCCTGGCCCCCGGCACGCAGCCTGCACCCTCCCCCAGGGACAACCTCCGCTGAACAGAAGGAGGCGCACGGGGGAGCAGAATGACGCCTCTGCGGTCCGCCCAGCCACGAATGCACCCGCACCACTTAGCGGAGAACGGGGCTTCTGGAGAGTGTGGCAGACAGAGGGAACTTGGGGGTTTCAGCCAGTCCTGGGGTGATTCTGTCTGTCCTTCCTTGAGGCCTTCCAAATCACCTTGTGTGCTCTAAATTTTTCTACCCTAAAGTGGCACCAGGCCTGTGTGGCACTCAGGTCCTGGGCAGCAGAAAGAAGAAAGTCCCCCTCCCGGCACCCTCCCCCTCATCCCTGCCTACCTGGGTGCCCTGGGGGAGGCACTTCCAGCCAGCCTCAGTTTCCCAGCGGTCCTGAGCCCAGGGATGCTCGGGAAATGCTGCTCCCCTGCAGACCATCACAACACCCTCATCCAGCTCTTCTCCCCACCCCTCCTCCTCTGGGACCCCAAGAAGTGGGCTGTGATTAAGGGGGAGAGTTCTTCAGCAGGAACGGGTTTGGACCCAGGACCACAGACAACCGTGGGGTGAAGGAATGCGGCACAGGGGAGAGGATCGAGGCCCAACTTGGGCTGTGGGCTGGAAACTTGGCGCCGACCATTGGGGGTGTCCTGCTGAAGGCCATAGCGGGTGGGGGGGGGTTGTCGATCTTCGGTAACTACCCCCTGCCAGCCAGGACCTGGCAAACGGGAGTTGCTGGCTCTCTCTGTCTCTGGGACAGGAGGAGTCAGGCTAAGGCTGGACCTGCTGGCACACTTGGGGTGCGGAAGCAGGCCAAGCTCCAGCCTCCAGCCCCAACCCCCCACCCCCAGCTTTCCAGATCTCTGTTACGGGCTGCCCCCGACACATACACTCCCCACCTGGAGGCTTGGCTCTCCCCATCACCCACGGGGCACCTGAGGCTCAGAGAGAAAGAGAGAGCCTTGAGGGCCTCACTCAACTCCTCAGGACAGGGGCCGGGTCTGGGCCGTGGGGGCGGGATGGAGGTCACCAAGTGTCCCCTCCTCTGCCCACAGGACCGTCAGCCCCGATCTCAAGTCCTACGCCCTGGGGGTGCTGTTCCTTCTCCTCCGGCTGCTCGGTATGTACCTGGCGGGTCCTTAGAGACGTGGTGAGTCCATCTGTCTGGGGGCTAAGGGGCTTCTTAGGCCCTGGGGAAGGCTCAGAAATGGGGGTGTCCAACTTCAGCACCAGTCCAAACTGGGCAGGCCAGCCCCCTCCTCCCCCACCCCACTGTTGCCCCGTGACCATGACCCTACCCACAGGCATGCACAGGGAAGGCCTGACAGCATCTGCCCCTGGGGTGAGGAGTGGGGTCCCAGAGCAGAGGGTCCCAGGGTGCCCAAAGGGGAAGGTGCGTGCTGCGTGGAGAGACCCCCGGGATCTGGCAGGCACAGAGCAGTGTCCTGTCCCCTGTCCCATTCGGTGCACACGGGAACCTGATGCACATGGGGTAGAGGCGGCTCAGCGGGAATCCACATAGGCACATCTTTAGGCCTCTGGGAAGCTTCTAGAATGAGACCAGTGGAGGGGTGCCCCCCCAACCATGACTTCCCCTTCATTGGGAAGGTGGATGGTGCATGCCCTGATGTCCCCTCCTAGCTGGGGTGAGGGGAGGAGCCTTATTATCCAGTAGCAAGCCAGGGAGACTTCTTTCTGAAAGTGCACCCCTCTTCCGAGAGTTGGGGGATGAGGCGATCCCACCCAGAGCATGCTGGCTTGAGTCCCGTCTGCTGAACCCCACCGGGTGGGCGGCACCAGATGGGTTGGCTCCAAGCCACCAGCCTTAACCGGTGTCCCCAGTGTCCATCTGACCCCCTGGTCATCATCCCAGGCCCAGAGCAGCCAGGCCACCGCATCCCTCTGGCCAGCAGGGGGCTTCCTGGAGCAGAGTTGGGGGGACCTGCAAGTTTTTGGGGGTGTGACCAGGGGAGTAGCTGTCAGCTTCCTTTTGTCCCTTACAGGAATCTGAATTTCGTTTCCTTACTAAATTTCCGGTCCCTTTTTTAGACAGAAGCTGAGAGAGAGGCCAGGTGTTTGCAGCATTTAATTTGGGGGGAGGCCTGGGGGTGTGAATTAAAAGCAGGTACAGCTGCCCCCCACCCGACATCGCTGTTGATGGTGTGTGGGTAGCAGAAGGGTGGGATGGAGGGTCACCCTGAGACCCTCTCAGCACCGAGCCACCACCTGATCCTCCTGGTTTCTGACGCCCCTCCTCCACCAAACTGACTCAGGCCCGCCCCTCCTCCCTCCCCCGCCTCACGCAGCCCTGCCCCTGTGCTGGGTGGGGCTGGGATGGCTCCCAGATGCCGTCTTGCAGCACCCAGTAGAACCCGGCTCTCTAGCACCAAGTCGGGGGGGGGGGGGCACCGCACTTGTCCGAGCACGTCTTTGCCATAAATAAACAGGGGAGCAGGTGCTGTACCCCACCCTCCCAGCGTGGCCCCATCACAGCCACCAGAGAACCAGACGCGAGCCTGGGAGCAGGTCGCTGTGGGTGAACCTAGTGCAGCTTCCCCCAGAGTGCCTGGACCCCCCACAACCCCCTCCTTTCCTCCCTGCCCCCCACTAAGCCACATATCCAACCCAGGCTGGGCACACGTGGTCCTTAAAGGTCCTTAAGGGACTCAGGTCCTTGCACTGAGCCAGGGTAGCACAGTATTCTGAGGGTTGGGGGGAGGGTGGCTGAGCCCCGTGTCCCATACCCCCCATGCCCGCAGGCTTCATCCCTCCGCCACTCATTTTCGGGGCGGGCATCGACTCCACCTGCCTGTTCTGGAGCGCCTTCTGTGGGGAGCAGGGCGCCTGCGTCCTCTACGACAACGTGGCCTACCGCCACCTGTACGTCAGCATCGCCATCGCACTCAAGGCCACGGCCTTCCTGCTCTACACCACGTCGTGGCAGTGTCTGCGCAGGGACTACCAGCGTTACATCCAGAACCACGAGGGCGTGCTGAGCACCAGTGAGTTGTTCGCCTCCACTCTGACCCTGGACAAGCTGGGGAGGGACGCGGGCAGCGCCCCGCAGACACACAGGACCAAGTTTATCTATAACCTCGAAGACCACGAATGGTGCGAGAACATGGAATCCGTTTTATAGTGGCCATGGGGTTGGGGGGGAACAGCCTCACCCTAGTGACTAGAGGGTCATTTTTTTCCCCTAAAAAAGCAACAGCAGACCCGCAAACAAACAAAACCCACTTGGGGCCGCACAGCCCCCCCCCGGCCCTTTGCCTCAAGATCAGGGCCCGACATTGAGACAAGCCTGCCACCGTGTGGCCGTGGCTGTCTGGTACCAGATACCACCCTGGGAACCGCGTGTGACTACTGCAAGCAAGCTAGAGAGACCATCCCGCGGGTCCCGCTTGGAGGACAGAAGGTTCTGGACTGGACGGACAGACACAGACAACACGCGGGTTTTTTTTTTTCTTTTTAAGTCACCTAAAAGGAAACCAAGTTGTCAACCTGGCTGGGACAATCACTGGTGACCCTCCGGGCGGGCGGTGGTCACCACTTCTGATGATCGCAGTAGGTTCCCTGCGTGGACCCCGCCGTCCACCCGGGGGTCCGTGGCCCCCTGGAGTCCACCCAGCCATGCCCCCTCTGGGGGCATCCAGGCTGGAGGCTGCCCCGGGCACTTCTCACCAGCTCCATTTCCATGCTCCAGACTGAGGGCCCAGGGGAGTCGGATCTGGGGGGAAGGATTGTCCCTCTCCCCCGTCCAATGCCCCCAGTCCCCACAGAGTGACCTCAGGAAGCTGTGGGTCTCACCTGGCTATGACTGACCCTGCTCAGAGCTGGTGAAGACCCCTACCTAGTCCAAGTCATTTGCTTACATTAGCCAAACATTTTGCCACTTTTTTAAGAAAACAAAACAAAAACAAAAACAAAAAAAGGCAACGCACCTGCATTTCAAACAGTTGTACGTAGACCCCCCACACACACACCTCACCCCTACACTATTTTTAACGACATCTGCATCTGTGTTTTCTCTGCCCTCTCTGTTCTCCAGGCTGAGTTTATTATGCTGGTTTGCTTTTACTTTTCTCCTTGGATTTTTTTTTTAATGCACCAAAAATATAATGTGATTCAAGGGATGCAATTCATCTATTGTAATTTTTCGTTTGTTTTCTGTCATTCTCAATAGTCTGCAAACGCAGGGCTATGCAGGGTGGAGGAAGGTCTGCCCGAGCCCCCTGCCCACGCGGAGTTGCATCGGTGGGGCTGAGAGTTGCCGGCTGGCCCTTCTTGCGTGATTTCCCTGCTGCAGGGTGTGGGCCAGAGAGGAGCCAGGATGCCCCCACTAGGGTGGCAGGGACAGACCCGTGTGTGGATGCAGCTCACACAGGACGTCTGGAGTGTCTATCAGGGGGACAGTGGGGAAGGACCAGGCCAGAAGTGGGCCCCCAAGTCCTGCGGTTACAGCTCGCCCCGCGGGGTGGGGAGAAAGAGCTCCGCTGGCCTGTCCCCTGTGGGTGACGGTTGGTGCTCCGGGTGGAGACCCCACGTGGCGCCCCTTCCAGCCTGCATGTGTGCACAGAGACTCTGCCCCCAGATGGGGGCCACCGTGCATGGTGGGCAGGCCGGGGTTCAGGTCATGGCTGGTGCTCTCCACACACCACTGTTGCCCATCTGTGCTAAATGCTGGCCACAAAAGGTGGATGGAAAATGTCGCCCCAGTACTCTGTATTTCCACCTGCTTGGGCTGGAGCTAGCCCATCTGGGGGCCCGAGGGGGCTCGCCTCACCTCTGTCGGGAACACAGGGCTTCCTGGCCACTGGGGATGGGTCCCCCACCAGCCCTGAGCAGGAGGTGGGCCTGGTGTGTGGAAAGAGGCCACACCCTCCCCTTAACTCCCTGTGACTGGCGAGGGGACTCGAAGGGGGCCCTCCTGCCAAGTGCCCAGCCCCTCTGCCCTTCCCAAGGGCCAGCCAGAGCCCGGAAGCCCCCCTGGGCAGAGGGACGTGAGTGCCTTCCCTGCTGGGGCACATAGCCTTGTCTTGCAGGAGGGAGACCCGACCCGCAGGCTCCATGCGCCCACTGGGGCCGGACCTTCCAGTGGGCAAGATGCCCAGGGCAGGCGAAGGCGTGACTCCTAGTGGCCTCGGCAGCAGGAGGCAGAACCACAGCTGGGAAAGGTCACAGCCTGGAGCCCGGGCCAGCCTGTCTGAGTGGACACAGCCTCTGGCTGCTCTGTCCACTCGGCCAACTGGGCAAGGCGATCCCAAGGACCCGGCTCCTCCGCCTGTGTCTTCCCACCCCCTCTGCCTGTGTCTTCCCACCCCCAGGGTGCCAGGGCAGTACTCACCTGGAGCAGTGCTCACCAGGGTGCCGGCCTTGCCTGCTGCCCACAGACAGCCAAGGTGCCTTGCTGGGGCCTCAGACGTTTTCTGTTTCTGCTCCGTTGGAGGCGACCATGGGGGATGGGGCGGTGAGCCCCAGAGGCAGGAAGAGCCGGTTCTGGTGCTCAGGGCCATTGTCTCCACCCCAGGAGGTTCCACATGTGGGATCCCACCAGCCCACGGCTGCCATGGACGTGGAATCGAGGGTCGACTTCTGAAAAGCCCTGCGTGGGGCCGCCCACCCCGCTATGGACATGTGGCCAAGGGGCCAGAGGGCAGAGGCTGGCCATGGGCCGTCCAGGAAACAGAGGGGCCTGGAAGGGACCTGGGGGGGGGGGGGCGGGGGTCCAGCTGAGCCACGGCTGCTGTCAGGACAGGGCGCTCTCCCCCCCGATCTGCACCCATGGAGGGGCAGTTTGTGTCCTTGTTGGATAGACTGCAAGTCCCTGTGTCCTCCCCAAGTCGCCCAGGGGCTGCCACTTGGGAAGGGCTACAGAAGGCCCGCGGAGAATTGACAGAGGGCACAAAAGTTCATTTGAGAGGAGCCCAGGTGGGCACAAGATGGACACAAGAAGGCCACTGGGGCCACAGAGGCTGAGACCTCCCTCGCTGTCCCCCACCAGCTGCCCCGTCCCAGCCTCCCCTGCCCCACCTCCGCTCTGCTTGCTCCTGCATCCATGAACCCACCCCAGACCTCTCTCCATCCCAGCACCCCCGCCTCCCCTGCACCCCAGCGCTCCCCACGGACCCCACCCTCGAACCCAAGCCTGAGGAAGCCACGGAAAGATGCTCCGAGCGATGCTTCCCCCCCATGGCCCGAGGCCTCCGCTGGACCGGTCAGTCTCCACAGCCTCTGCCTGGGGCGCGGCCGCCGGGAGACTCACCCCGTGTGTGCGGTGTGGCATCGGCAGGCAGAGTGAAGCTGACGGCCCCAACCCCCTGGCCGTGAGATCAGGGCCGCCCGAGCCGCGGGCCCACTAGCTGACACGGGGCCACCCAAGGAGCACTGGGACAGGAAGCAGGAGTTGCGTTTCCTGCATCCCGCAGGGCTCGGGGCACGGAAGCTACTTCCTGGGGGTTCTGGGGCGCGAAGCTGGCGCTTGTGGGGCTCTGCTGCCCCAGCACTGTGGGAGAAGCCTGCGGAACAGGAAGCAGCACACACCGATCTCTCTCTCTCCTCTCGGCCTCTCTCCCCCCTAGGCTCCGAGTATCAGGACATTGAGCCCGAGAAAGCGTGCCCTGAGCCCCACTCTCCTTCCGAAGACTCCTTCGTGAGCAGCTGACGGTTAGTTCCTCACAGAGGACGCCACCAGCACCCAGACCCCGGGCCGGACAGCGCACCCCGCCCCGCCTAGGAGTCCCAGAACCCCACCTCGCCGCGACAGCGCAGGCCTGGGGCCAGGAGGATGGAGATGGCCCCGGAGTCCCCACTGCCCACAGAACAGGCGACTCGGGGCTTGGGGTGGGGTGGGCAAGAGTGACACTGACCAGAGGCTGCGGCCCCCCTTCTCCTGATGCTCCTTGCGTGTGAGGGGGGGCTCCTGCTGGTTGCTTTAGAACCCCCCCCCTCCTCGAATGCTTCTCTGCTCTTCCCAAAGATGCCTGGGCTGGATGTGTGTGTGAGGGGGGTCACCACAGGACCCCAACCTTAGAGCGGGGGGCAGGCACGTTCTTAGCCCGCCTGGGGTGCGCCCCTCTGTCCTTCCCCGCTTCTGCTGTCCAGGTGAGCTGTTTAGGAATCTGCCATGTCGAGTACGCGCTGAGCGCTGGCTGCGAATTCTATTAAAAACACTATTTTCATTCATCACTGTCCGTCGGCCTGGTGTCCTGGGGCAGAAGGACTCGCAGAGCAGCCTGGGCCCCCGCACCGCTGTGCCATCCTGGTCTCTCCCCAGCCACGAGCTTCCCCTGGCACCGTCTGTCCATTTCCACATGGCTTGGTTCTCCCCATTGCCCATACTGGGAACCTTGGTCCCTGGGTGTCTGTCTCAGCACTCCCACCCACCCCTAGCTCCCTCCCCGCCCACCAAGATGGTTCCCCCCCCCACTACCCGGGGCCTCTCCCGAAGCCCTCCCCAGAACCTCCCTGTGGTCCCAGCTTGGGGGAAATACGGGGTCTTGTGTTCCCCGAGGGCCATTCCCCAGCCCGCTGGCCATCAGATTGCCCCACAGGCCTCTTACTACGTGCTGGTTCTTTTTCCTGAGCTGCAGCTTCAGGGGAAGGATCTGGCTTAGGGTGCCTGCACCCCCAAATTTCATACATCAGTTCCTGTCCCCTCACTTCTCAGCCACTCCCTGCTTCCCCCACCCAAAATTGACTCGCCACTAAGAAAGACATGGGGACGCCAGAGCCATTCTCCCATGCTACAGTGAGTCCAGCTCAGGTTACTTCCCAAAGGGAGTCCACCAACTCATGAGCACACGATAGCCCAGAGTCCAAGTGCCCCCTCTCCCCGGCGTCCACCTTAGTCCTGATCTGGGCATCCAATGGAACCACTTTCCTCGGCATCTGTGAAAGAGCTGGTCTTTTCCCCAAACCTGAGGCCAGTCAATTAGTCAACTGACCAACCAACTAACTGACCACTCAACCAATCAATAGGTCCACCAACCAACCAATCATCAACTCACCAACCAATCAACAGACCTACCCATAAATCAGTGGAGCCACCAACCAATCATCAACGGACCAAACAGCCAGTCCACTCACTAACCTCTGCCCAATCGACCAAGTCCTCGACCAGCCCACCAGCCTTTTGTGACTCCAAGATGGCAGCAGCATGGCCAACGGCTCTGCAGGCAGTGACCTACCCAGTCCAGGCCTCAGTGTGCCAGGAACTTCCCCTCTGTGCTGAGACACTGGCTGGTTTTCCAGAAAGAAGTTTGCTTTATGCTTCATCCTGCCCAAGTTCCAGCATCCCCCGCTGGGAAGCATCTGGACTCATCGATCTCCTCGAAAGTCAGTATGTCTGGATCTTCCTTCAGCATCAGTGAATAACCTCACTAAGACGTGGGGCCAACAAGTCCTCCCAAACCCACCGCAGGGGCACAGAGGTGTGAGTGCACTGGAGTGGTGCTACAAGCCCAGCGTGGCAACAGGTGGGGCCCTGGCCCCCCTTTACAGAGGAGGCTTTTCCAAGGGTCACCCAGATCACTAAGACGATGCACAGGCTGCAGTGTCCTTAGGGAGAAACTGGATGCTTTTTCCTGGGCCCCCCTCTCTGGCTCAGCCCAGGGCTCCTTGGGTCCCCAATTCCCCCACCCCGCACCTGCCCTGCTGTTTTGTTGTTTCTGCTTTGGGGCCATGCCCAGCAGTGCTCAGGGCTGGTCCTGACTCTGCACTCCGGGAGATGCGGAGTGCATCTCAGGGGATGCTATGGGGATGCCGGAGATGGAACCCAAGTTGGCCGCGTGCAAGGCCAGTGCCCTCCCACTGTAATGTTGCTCTGGGCCTCCCCTTGCGGTTTTGGGGGACCCATTCTGTTGGTGGCGAAATCCGTGCTCAGATGAGCTGAAAAGGAAGCAGGACCCTTACAATGGGGGGTCCCGGGTATGTGTTCGTGCAAATCTTTCCGCAAGCCGGTTCAGTTTCAGGTGAGTGGCTGCAGGGGCATGCATGCTGAGGCCATTACAGGGTGTCACTCCTGAGACCCCCGTTTGCTGTGCGGGTTCAACAGGCTGGTCAGCCTGGACCACCCACCCAGGCAAGCTCAGGGGAACACGCTTGAGCACCTCCTGGCTCTCAGGACCCAAGATGG